CCACACCAACTGAAAACGTAATAAATGTTATAATTGTGGTCCCCAATCAAACTGAGTCTAATGGACTATCAGGTGTAAAAACACCTTAATTACTCTACCTGCTGATTATGCGCTTGTTTCTAGCAAGTACAGGGACTAAGTGGATCATTTTGTTAGTAAAATCTTAGCAATATTTAGTGATCAGGAGTACTGTCTAACTGCAATATCTGTTTTAAGTCAGTTCTAAACACTGAAATCAAAACAGTAAGGGACAGTGGGTTCATAGTGTGAAGTATTTTAATAATCTTGCCCTGGTTGGCCCTCTGGCTAAATGTTGTTTTCTTGTCTGTTTTTTAGGTTCATTCATCCGTGGACAACTCTTCTCCTGAAGATCCCGGTGCTCAAGAAGCCATCTATGCCGTAGTCAAAAAAACAGAAACGGCTGATGTCACTGAGTGAAACTGTTTTAAAAAAATATTGGTTTTGGTTTTCAAAAAAAGTTTGCTTTAAGCTAATTTTAGCTAAAGAACTAAACCAGAGCTAGTATCAGCATTTTACTAGCCTGGTCATTGCTTTGCAGTACAATTCTACCTGATTCTCATCTCCCTTCACTGTTCAGTCTGGGATTTCTCCCATTGAAGTTGATTCCTCTAGTACAACTTTTACCAGGCCAATCAGTGAACAGAAGGAAAAGTTAGGACCGTTGATGTTGCTTTTCTGCGCTGTTTTATAATTAAGTGTTAGCAGTGGCAGGAACTTAACGAAGCCGTTCAGTCTGTGTTTTCCATGCTTCCAAATACTGAAGTGACAATAACACCCATCATTAAACGCAATCTGTTTTTTCCAAATTATCCAGTTTGCTTTTCCACAAAAGCAAACATTTTTGCGTCATTATAAACATTTCATCCAATAAACGTTTTATTCTGAGTTATGTGGAGGATCACAGAGAGTTTAACCACAGAATTATTATTTATCCTAGTATCTCTGCAGATACTAAGAACCGTTTGTAGAGCCTGAGATGGACTGGCAGCCTGTCCAGGGTGACCCCGCCTCTCACCCAAAATGTTTCGTTGGAGATGGGCAGCAGCACCCCTACTGACACCACTAGGACAAGGGTATAAGAAGATGGATGGATGGATGGATGGATGGATATTTTTCTATAAAAACCCTGGAGCTTTGAGCATTAAGTTTAAGTCATGGTACTTTGCAGATCTTCATTATTTCATCCTATTTATAGATTCTCAGCCATCCAGGATATTCCTCCCAATAATGAAATGGGATTTCCTCCCTTGGACATGTCCAAAAGTCACTAGCTCAAAATATTAATTTTGTTAATATCATGATGATGATGGTGTTTTATTTATTTGTTGTTTTTCTTTTTTGGTCTTAAATTAGAAAGATCAAAGTGAAACTAACTCGGGACTTTCAGACCTGGTTCTCAAAGTGTGATTGGTTGTTGGACTTAATGAGCCCGCCCCCACAGATTCTGATCAAAATGTCTCTCTTGCTCAGAGCTGAAACCCAGGAAGAGCGAGTTGCTGCTCTCAAGTAGAAAGAGTTAATCTAATGCTTGTAATCTTTTCCATCCTGAAATAAATGAAACATTTGTTGGATTGAGTTGGTGACCTATGTCTGTCCATCTAAAGGAACATTTTGTACTTTTTTCTCAGCAAGTGGTTTGCATGCGTGAGCTGAGCTATGAAGCATAATTGCTTAAACCACAGCTAAGCAAGACCAGTGCTGATAACGCAGCTCCCACATTCATGTAGCGTGAACAGAAGAAACCACTTTTCCAACCACACACCTACATCCGCTCACACAAACTTTAATTAAATCTCCCTTAAATTCATGCACAAGGCCAGACAACTCAAAATATTTGATTAATCCAAGCAGGTTGCAAATCTGCAATTTCATTGTTTCTATAATTACCTTTTTAAACTTAAAATGATCAAAGCATAGGAAACTATTGAGACAGTAGAGTCACCACTTCAGAAGAGGAAGTGACCGCTCTCGCAACTCGAGGCCCATCTCCTCTCAGACTTACTGTTCAGTAAACATGACAAGAGATACAGAACAATGGCTGAACAGTGGTGTATAGATAATAATAATAATGTGCAACATAACAGAAGAACAAATTATATACACTTCAATACGAGTGGGAATGTGAGACAAGAGAATATAAAGTTAATCTCACTGGTGCACTTCATGGTTTAGACTTCTTAGTAAACAAGATTTCACATATTACAGACTTCAAAAGCAGAGAGTTAAGTGTGAAAACATTTTTCACCATTAAATAAAAGCAAACATTTATTGAAAGTCTAATACAGCAAAGGACGGAGCAAATATAAAGGAATAGACGTCATAACGAGGAAGTAAGAGCTGAGTAACCACAGAAAGAGCATCGTGTTTACAGAAAGCCACTTTTCAGATCCATCTGTTGATATCAAACAGGAAACTGTTACCTTCTGACTGACTCATAACCCTGTAAGTTCTGCACATACGATTACTTTATTCTAGCTGTTAATAAACGAATGTACAAAGTTTTTAAAACATATGGTGACCGCCAACATGTCTGTGGTGGAAAGTTAGAGACGACGTGACGGGAAAAGGTTTGAGCTGAATGTGAGAGAAGATTAACCCGACTTTAAGCCCATCTGCAGCCAAACGATTAGATTTTACTCTATTTTCAATCTGGTTGGAGATTTGGTTGCTAAGCAGAGAGTCATCAGCACCCAGATCTCACAGGTAAAGATTTAGAAATAAAGGTTTTATACAAAATTAATATCTTATTAACCCTTAAATGAACAGGTGTATTTACATATGGATCACTTGTAATTGATTTGTAACTGCTGGACAACAATGATTATATTGTATAACAACATTTTAATGTGACCATTGCTCAAATCCTGTTTTCCTCCAACTGTGGATAAGGAAGAAAAATAAAATATACTGTGAAACTTAACAGCTTTAAAATTAAAAAATTAATAGAAATTCCAAAGTTATAACTTTTATAGGACATTGAACAAATGCACAGAGTGTAAATAAGATATTTAGCATTTTATAATTGTACAGCTTTGAATTAGAAGCTGTTGAAATGTAAGGACAGCTCCACCTGGTGGTGGCGAATAATAATTACATACTATGAAATTCAAAGAAACGAATCAAGAAATTACTTGAAAATTTCAGGAATTCATTAAAAATTTCACCGTTTTCATCCATTTTCAGGGTTTTCTTGGGCAAAATTAATGCACACTGAGAGTAAACAAAGCTTATTTAATATTAAAATTGTTCATCATTGAATCGGAGGGTGTTAAACTTTAAGGATGACACCCCATCTGGTGGTGGAGTATAATAATTATATTGTATGAAATTAAAAAAAATATATTACATAAGCTCTAAAAAATTAAATATTGTAAATTTCAAAAATCATAGAAATTTTTTGAAGTATTTTAAAAGATGTTCAGGTACAAATTTAAACAAAGCACAATGAGCGTAAATAAAACTTACTATTTTAAAATTGTACACTTAGAAATTAAAAGCTGCTAAAATGCTTTAAGAATTACAGCCCCATCTGGTGGTCAAGAATAATAGTTACACTGTAAAAAATAAATGAGGTGCAAATTCTGATTTGTTCCAAGAAGGAAGAAGATGTTAAAACATATGTACTCAAAATTTTACAAACTGTGAGAAGAAACTTATAGAAACGACAAAGTTCTAAAAATAAATTATGATATTGGACATATATTTATAATGCACATTGAGAGTAAATAATTTATAATATTTTTAATTTCTACCTGTATAAATGTGTTTTAAGGGGAAACCGTGCAAAAAGTATCTTATTTTAATAAGTTTGTGCTCTTATGGGCATAGATCTTATTTATTGTAGACTGTTATTTAACTGGATTACTATTTTATCAAACTGGAACCATTAAACAACCTAAAGCTTAAATTACTTCTTTCCAAGCTGAATCTTACGAAAAAGCTTTCTGTAGCCATCAGCTGAATATTTGATGGCTCCAAAAGAAGAAGTCCTGATTTATGTTTGTTGATTTCCTGCTAAGCCAGTGGAGTAAAGCCAGTTTTATTCTGCAGCTTGGAAAATGTCTTCAGAGAGAATTTCTGATGAGATTCTTATGTTACGAAGCTCATCAGACATGAGGACAACAGAATGAAATGAAAGTGATTATTTGTTATACAGAACAAAACTTTACAAAAAACAGTAATAATTCAGAAAGATGAAACTCATGGGGAAATGACACAATGTGCCTGTTTATGTAGCATAAACCAGCCTGACGGTGACTGAAGGCAGCAACACGGAGCAGATCTCAGGCTGAGCAGTAGGTGGCACTGTGACTAATCTATGATTGATCACAATAGGAAACGGAAACAAGAACACCTCTGCACTTAAAACTAAAAATAATATTTCATTTATCCTTCCGGCTGTGAACAGGTAGAATAAAAAGTAGCTTTGCAGTTTCATAGAAATTTGAAACCTTCTGAGGGACAAAACTTAAAACAGAGAGAAAAATGTTGGTGTGTTTGTTAGTTTATGTAAAGCTTCTTAATGATCACAGACTAAAAGCAAATATTTTGTAGAATTTACTTTATCTCATATTTCAATGACGTTAAGGACTTTTTTGTCTTGCAGATTTTTGTAACCACACTAATAACATTTTATTTCCTGTTTTATTTGTACACAGGGGAAAACCTGCAGCTGCTGCTGGTACTGAGATCCGAAACTAACACTTTGTTAACCACCTCTGCATCTAGCAGTTGACTAAACGCCTCTAATGCAGCTGGACATTAAACTGATGAAAATAAAACAAAAAGACAAAAAGCAACAAAACATACCCTAAAAACTACTAGATAAATAATTACAGTGAAAATGTCAGACTTTGTTTCAAAACATGAAATAAATGTTCATTAACGTGTCAGAGGTGAGTGTGAAGCACAAAGTGTGAACGGTGAGGAAGTGACGCATCACCCACAAGGCTCGTTTCCGTCTTCCTGATGAAGCCATTTTAACATCTGACCACGACTAGAGCAGAAAACAATGATTCGATTCGGGTCGATTATTGGACCTTTATTGATGATTCTGTTTCATTTTCCAGGTATGAATCATTTTAATTGGCTACAGTATTCCTGTCTGATGTGTTTTGACTCTTGGAAGTTTTTATTCTGGATATTTTTCAGCACCAGAGGGGCAACCTTCGTCCTTCTTCACCGTCCAAGCAGGTGACAAAATAACTTTGCCTTGTGAAAATCTGAGAAAAGATCAGAAAACCTGTGACAGGACGACGTGGACGTACAGAAACTTTATGCAGGAAGGAACCATTTTTGAAAATGGGCAGATAAACAAAGATGCAACAACTAAATCCGGCAGACTGAGTTTATCAGCGAACTGCTCTCTGGTTATAAAGACGATCACACTTCAGGATGCTGGGCTTTACAGCTGCAAACAAAACAGGCCAGCAAGTCACGATTCACAAGACTCTCTGGTTGATGTGTCTGTCATTAGAGGTGAGTGTTTTCATGTAAAATATGCTGGTTACATCAACATAGATAGCAATAATAACAAGGACATATTCTCTTTTTCCTCTCTATTGTGACTCTTTTGCAGTGAGTGAGGAGGAGTTTAATGGTGACTTTAGCTTGCGCTGCTCTTTACAGGAACATCACTACTGCACTCACACAGTGGAGTGGGTGTATGACCAGAAAATGCCCTCCGGTGTGGAGGTGTTATCATATTCCTGCTGGGCCACTGTGACATTTACAGCATCTTTCTTCAGTCAGAAGTCAAACATTTATGAGTTACTGAAATGCAAAGTAACTAAAACCACTGGAGAGGCTCAGCTGTTCCGCTTCAGGCCTCAGTCTGATGAGGAGGAAGATGGAGAAAAAGATGCAACAACAACAACAAACACACCAACTTTACTGACCACAAGAAAACCAACAGTCGCTATAGCAACAACATCCGTCAGCAGGAAATGGACGAGTCTCAGTGGCAATGCAACAGACAACAGGAAGAATTCAAAGCAACAAGGTGACAGTTGATACATCGTCTTTAAATGTATGTATTCATTCTGTTCTGATGGGATCTTTTTCATTATTTCAGATTTCATCTATTTTTTAAGATGCATCATTGTGAGTGTGGGTTTGGCAGCTCTCCTAATATTGGTTGTTGCAGTCAACATGTGGGCTAAAACTAAAGGTAAGAAAATTAACGTGTTACGTTTTTATACTTCCAGCCATCCAATGTCTGTATACGTCTTTTTTATTTGAATAAAATCCATCTGTTACGAGTCTACAGTCATTAAAAATACAACAATGTCGTAAAGGCATCCTGCATATTGCAAAAGCAAAATTTTGTTCTAAAATAATGTATTTCATGGCTGTAGCTGGTGTGGCGGTAGATCAGATCAGACCCCTGATATACAACTGAGTTTGGTTATTTCTGATAACATATGATATATGCCTCCAAGTTTGATTTTTATGCTGGAAACTGAACATTATTCTCTTTTCTGATTATATTTCAGAAGAAGTGAATTATGCAATTAATAGTAATTTATTTATAGAAGATATTGCTTAGTTTGTGTTGAAATAGTAATAAAGTCGGAGGTGCACCTAGGTCACATTAACATAAATCATGCTGTTATGTTTCAAAGGAACCAACCAAAGAAGATGAAGACTTCTTTGGCCTCTTTATTGTATGAAAACAATAAAGAGGCCAAACTCAACCTCATCACAACTCCCCGTAGGATTCGGACCGACTGCTGAAGCTCCTCTGACCGTGAAGGAAGCCAGCAGTGAAAAACACTGAATTCAGACGAGCGTTTCCACCGCCGGTTGGATTCTCACTGGGAATGTGGAGTTAAACCCAAACACCTAATGCTGCATCTTAATATAATTGTGCAACAACAACTGTGGGGCCCTACTATGTCTCATGATTGTTGACCCCAAATCAATGAACGGCACTGTGTGATGCCAGGAGCTCCACCTCAACCAATTCAATACAAAACACTTTATTAATCCCAAAGGGAAATTAAGTGTTTGTGTTACTCATTAATTTAAAATTTTCAAGGAGTTTTGAAGATGGTGACGGCAGGAAAGATCTCCTACCTTCATCTATGAGCCTCTAACTGAACCGAGCCCAGGAATGGTCTGGTACGGATCGGATGTATGGCTGCAGCCGACCCAACAACAATGAAATACCGAACCGCACCGATCTGAACACTCTGGTCGTCCCCACTCAGCTCCTTCAGACTAGCGGCAGCAGCATTTAGCAAACACTTGGTGGAACTGTGCATGTGAGGAGCTCATCATACAGACTACTTATCCATCCAACGCTCCTGTCTGATGTAAAACGGCATTAAAGAAAGACACTGCAGTGACAACATGCTGAAGAGTGTTGGAAAGAGTTGGAACTTCTTAAAGACACAGAGGCCCAATTTCAAAGTGTCAAATTGGGAAGTCAAATTTATTTTCAGTTATGTTTGATGATGTATATAGCATTTTTATAAAAGCTGAAGGTAACGTAGTTATTGATTGTGCAATAAATGGCACCATGTGCCTGGAAAATAAATAATACTGCCCCTTTTATCTTTACTACTATCTGCCAAGTAAATGATCAGTGGTTTCCAGAAGCAACCCTGTGCATGCTGTCTGGAAAACAGGCATATTTAACAGTGTGGTCTGGACACACTGAAAGTGAGAAATGACAGCTGATTGTTTCCACCACAGTGGAGGATGTTAGAGCTTAAATTAAAACTGAAAAATCCACCAGATCTGATGTTTACTTCTGTTCCCATCGTTTCAGAAACGGAGATGCTGACAGAAACTCACACACAGCTCGCCTCAAATAAACAGGAAGGTTATATTCTATGACATCAAACTGCCTAACAACACTATTTATTAAAACACCCACATGTCAAATACCTGACGTTATGTTTGTTCAAAGAAGCCAATGACCCAAGAATGAACTGTCCTCAGTTTTACCTTATCAAAAAATGATTTATGTATCTATGTTGCTGTGTTGTACCTTAATGTCAGTAATAATTATAGAAAAGATTGTTTTTCTACGTTTGTCTTTGTGACAAGAATAAAATCTTGTTTTTGTGAAAAGATCACAATGATCAAGGAGTCGACATCCCACAGTGTGATGTTGTTGTTTAAGCAACAAAATAAACAATTCATTCAATTTTACTAAAAAAATGAATATGAACAAAATTAAAGAAAGCAGTATTGTTGAAAAAGGAATATTTCTTTCCTGAATCAGCAGAGGGCGCTGTAGCACTTCAGAGTGGACATATCTGATCTCTTTTTATATAACTCTAAATACATCAAGAATACTTCAGATAAACTTTCAGAGTTATAATGTTTTGTGATCTGCAGAAACCTTACAGAGGTAGAAAACAAACAAAACGTACGTAATTTCAACATTTTCAACAAAAACAATGCATCTAAAGGAAATACTTCAGCTGTAGTATCATAAATCATTAACCTACTTCTTAAATAATTAATATTAAGTAAAGGATTGTTGTTAAATATAAATCTAAATATTCTTGATTAAATTTACTAATTTAAGAAAACCTATCAATGGAAGGAAGATGTTGGGAACAACTGCAGCAAAAAACATCCCAGTAGGTGTGTGTGTGTGTGTGTGTGTGTGTGTGTGTGTGTGTGTGTGTGTGTATTTATGGTGACTGCATTAAAATGTAATCCACATGTTTTGTATTGCATATGGACCTATCCTATTGATTTATATTTTATATTTTTTGGTACATTTTTATTGTTTTTTACTTTTTAACTTTTGATCATTTTCATATCCTTTGACATCGAGTTGCTGTAACATTAATTGCTCATTCAGGACTTGAATATAGATGAATCTGAATCGTATCCTGTTCCAGGAAGTATAACAGGTTACATTTAAAACAATGTATAAAGAAACAACCAATTTCTAGTCAAAGATTTGGCTGCTTTGTGAAACTAACACATCAGCCACCACACATATAAAAGCCATAAAGTCCTGGAGTTGTTAATATATTAAATTAAATGCAAAAACACAGAAAAACTAGAAAACAAAAAAAGTTGTTGCAGGCGCTAAGATTTGCAGGGGTGAATGGGAGGGACGGGATTAAGAAAAAAACTAATTTGTGAGACAGAGTGAAGTCATGATGAGGAGGAAACGCCTCCCAAACCACAGACCCTCATATTTCACCTCTTACCTCTTTAGACTCTCAGTCGTTTCTGATTGTCTGCAAGAGACACAGAGAGGAGCAATGATCACTGCTAGAGAGACACGAACATCTTTATTTCTAACGCTGATGCTTTACTTAACAGGTAAGAAATTTAAAAATCAAAATAACAGAAATGATGTAAATCTACCTCAAACTAAATATGTTTTGTTAATTAGTACAGTTATTTTTTAGATCCTCACAGTAACAGGAAGCAGCAGAGTGATTTCTTTCTTCCTCTCAGCTACAGCAGCTGGACAGGATCAGTTCCTGACAGTCAGAGTTGGTGATGAAGCCACTTTGCCTTGTAGAAATGTGATCTGCACCAGAAATCAATGTGGCGGCATCACCTGGATGTTCAGTGATAAAAGATCATCAACACTGTTTGAAAAAGGGCAGATAACTGAAGCTGCAGCAGCAAAATCAGACAGACTGAAGGTTACATCAGGCTGTTCTCTGGTTATGAAGAACGTCTCAGTGGAGGATGTCGGTCTTTACACCTACAGACAGTTTGTAAACGGACAGCAAGAGTCAGACGACGCCAATATTTATCTGTCCGTTATTCACAGTAAGTATTTACATTATCATTTTTGCTACAACACTCTAAAACATAAGCACAAAAATGATAAAAGTATTTTTTTTTCCTTTTCCTACTTTTGTCTCTGACGTCTGTCTTCATCAGTGGTTAAACAGAAGCAGAAAGATAAACTCATCCTAACCTGCTCTGTGACGGATTATATCGACTGCAGACACACAGTGGAGTGGCTGAATGACGGTGGAGAGGAAATGATGTCAGACATGGAGGAACCAGATCAGTCCTGCTCTGATACTGTGATGATTCCAGCATCTGACAGGAACTGGAAGCCAAAGAAATCTGAAAACTTAAAGTGTAAAGTTACACATAAATACACTCACAACGTGCAGCTGGTCACCTACAGGATTCAGACGTCTGAGCAAACAGGTGAGAACTCAATCTGAAAACATTAATTTAAGGATCTGGATTGAAGGAAACATTTCTGTGTTATAGTTCATCTAACACTGAAAGATAAGAAATGTATTTACTTTTTCTTCAGATAAAGAGTCAGCAGCTGAAATGACCACAACACAAACCCCAATAACAGCCACGACAGAAGAATCAAACAAATGGACGTTTAGAGCAATTAATTCATCTACAAATGTCAATTTGTCAAAAACTCCAGGTAGAAACTGAATCGTTTGAAGCCCAGAGCCTGAATGTTTTATCCTTTATGTTGATCAATTATTATAACCATAATAATTCTTCCATCAGGATGGGTTTGGTCGTTCGTTATCCGTTCTGTGTGTTTGGCAGTGATGATAGTAACTGTTCTGGTGATCATCAGATGGACGAAAACTAAAGGTGAAAACTTATTTTCTTCATTGCAAATTCATCTTCATGGTGTAAATATTTGATTGAAAAGAAAAAAAACTAAATGAATAATCATGTCAAGAGTTATTTAATATATTCCTGAACATGATGCTTGTTAGAAAACAGAGAAATGAAGTTTTCACAGCGTAAAAACTGAACCTAAATGTTCTTCTTCTTTTCAGGAAAAGAAGAAGAAAGTGAAATGAGTGAATGATTAAATCCTTAAATCGTTATTTTTCATCCATTTCTGGGTCGATGTGGTGAAAAAAAGGAAAATGTGTCACAGAGGCCGATTTCTTTTTGTCATTTTTCAAGATGAGAAAGACAAGAGAACATACATTCAAGTAACGCTGACTATTATTCATCTTTAGGACAAAAATAACACAATGACTCTTTTAAATGTAGTCTCATCTACATTCAGAATAAGGTTTAAAAAATACGGCTGTGACAGACGAGGCTCCGTCCACAGTGAGCAGGATGAAAAGAAACCAAATAATCTACAAAGTTTACAGTTAGAGAAGAGCGATACATTTCACAATTAAATTATGTTAAAGCTTTTAACAGTCAAGTAAGAAAATAACCCAGATACAAGTAGGAGGCAGGTAAAATTAGAGACATTGGAAAACAATCCTTCACCGCGACAGATGATCACTGAACAAGAAGTTGGGTACAGCTGTGAGGAAAAACAAGTAACTCAGGTAAATGTGCAAATTAAGTTCATGTGAGACAGGATTTGTTAAAATTTTGGTTAATTTTAATCATATTTGTCTGGATTTTTGATGTATTGTCTGAGATTCCTGGCTTGACACAAATCACTGTGAATACTTCTTCTGTTGCCAGACGGGCTCTACTGTGACCTTAGTGAATAGGTGACATTAGATGTTGTTTAATAAGTGAAATAAATTATTTTATACTTTAAAAATAAGCTTTAATCCAGATAAACCTAAATAGAAACAGATTGTTTTCCAGAGGATCAGTTTGAAATATGGCTGCTCACTGGAGCCCTCTAGTGGAGAAAAGCATAAAGACTCATTGTGATGCACTGTTTTATTAAATATAACTTTTTTTGTAAAATATTCTTAAATAAAATTGAAGGTTTATGACCCAAATCTGTAGATGTTTTATTGAAGAGCATATCTTTAAATTCTTATGGTTTCACACTTTGAGAAGAAAATGGCTGCTGAGTTTCCATAATGTCAGACATGTTGAAGTTTAAATCCTAAAAAAGAATCAACCAGAGCAAACCAGGTGCTGCTAATGCTGCAACACTGAGATCAGCTCTGAAACTAACACCTCATCAACAACATCCTGAACCTCATGATGTTTAATGTCAAATTTATCCTGATGTGAGTGACAGAAAAAACGTTGCAACAGCTTTTATTCATAGCTTTGGCTGCTTAGTGAAACTAACACCTCACTGACCACAGATATACAGTCATAGAGTTGTTTTTTTAGATATATTAGTTTGCAAACAAAAAACAAAGCTGGAAAACAAAACTTGCAAATATAATCCAAGTCATGACTGCAGTCATTAGTTTTTTTTTTTTTTTTTGCAGAGATTAAAAAAAAAAAAAGAACAAAGTTCAGACATGGACAGAGAGTGAAGTCATGGTGAGGAGGAAACGCCTCCCAAACCACAGACCCTCATATTTCACCTCTTACCTCTTGAGACTCTCAGTCGTT